ATCTCCCTTCTCTCTCCATATGTGGTCAGTCACGCCTGATTTTTCCACTTCCCCTCGTTATACAGCTTACTGTCGGGTATCTGGATATACAACTTTTGTTTTTATTGCCTATTTCGTTTTCTTTTTGTCAAGTGTAGGATATTGCTACAACACCCTGTATATATTCATTTAGTGCCTGGCCCTCTGTTTGATTGGAAAAATCTTCTGATAGTCGCAATAAACGAATTCCTAGTAGTCTATAACTTAAAGAAAACAATAACTCGTTCCCATAAATGCAGATCACACCTTACAAAGGACTTTATCAGTGTAAAATTTTTGTATTTTTCAATTGTTGTTTTTTACGCAAATGTGCAGGGGTAAAATGTTATGATGTCATTTCTGACTTAGGTCTCTGGTTGGGACCCAGAAGGGAATGAGTGTGCAAAAGAAATCAAGGCAAATAATAATAATAATAATAATCATAATAAAAAAACTCGAAACACTGCAAACTAGTTTCATGTATTCTTGTAACTTTATGGCCTTTTTACACATAATTAATAGATTTCACCATAAAGTTATGTCCTTGTTTGAACTTCCATAACATAATGTGACGTAAATGTACTTTTAATCCCGCCATTCGTGAGGTTAGAGCTTTATTCTTTAATCCACTGTATATGCTTTCATTGTCATGCCAAATCGAGTCCATGTTAGTGTACTTCCAAATTATTCTTAACTGTCCTTAGGATTCATAGTGAATATTGTAAACAATTTCTTTCAATAATGGAAATCTATTATGAGTCAACCGAATATATTTTTAATTGTTATTTAATAGGAAACGGTGTTTATATAAATAAAAGGAATTAAAATTGCAAATAATATATTTCACAGAACAAGTAAATGCTGGGATTCTAATTTTAAACAACAAAATGGATTCCTTATTATAGACATTCTCCAGAGAAGTTACGTTAATTTCTAGATAAATTTTAAAAATATTTTTCCTTGAAAATTAAAAAAAATATTCAGAATAGAACTTACTCTAATATATTTCATAATTGATTAATTATTTAATAATAATAATAATAATAATAATAATAATAATTAAATCGAAATCTCTGAAATTTGGCACATGGAAACAGCAACAATCCCCTTGTAGTTGGAGCCCTCGGATTGGTTGGAAAAGATTCCAGTAGACTAATTAAAGGGATTCCTGGAAGTCCATACTTCAAACAGATACAAAAAATTGTTCTCACAAGTACAGCCCACACCTTACGAATGGGCTTTATCTATGTAATATATGTGATTTTTTTGTTCTCCGGGGTGGGGGCGGAATGTGTCTACAGCAGAAAAACAAAGGGAATAATAATAATAATAATAATAATTAATTCGAAATCTCAAAAATGTGGCACATCGGCAGACCAACAATTCCTGTTGTTGTTGGAGTCCTAGGATTAGTTGGAAAATATTCCAGTAGACTAATTGAAGGGATCTCTGGAAGCCAATGCCTCGAAGAAATACAAAAAAAATTGTTCTCGCAAGTAGAGCCCACACTTTACGAAGGGCTTTATCGATGTAAAATATGTTGTTTTTTTTTTTTTGTCAGTGGAAAGTGTCATGATGGCATATCTAAAAGGTCTCTGGGCGGGACCCCGAAAAGAATGTCTACACGCCAGAAATCAATGGAAATAAAAACAATAATAACAATAATAATAATATGGCATAATAATTAACAATTTATTTAATTTATACTATAACTGGACTGTGGAGCCAACTCTCAACAGGATGTTTTTCCCGATCCTTACAATCTAAACATGTTCAAGGATAAGGTTAACCGTTATCTTCCAAATCTGTACATATAAATGACCTCCTAACGTAGCCCTCTACCTCGAGTGACTCTCCAGCTTTGTAAAGGGTGAACCGTATTGTAAAAAAAAATCATATAAATCCATGCAAAATTATTTCAGATAACCGTTCAGAATGTGAACGTTCATGTCTCTCCACGCTTTCCTGTCTTTGGTAGATTTGTGTAAGCTTCCCTCTTCTTTCACGCTTCTTTTAATTTTTTTTTTAATCTTTCCAGAACTCCATATTTATCAGATTTTTTCTTTTGGACTAGATTTCCGTTTCTCTTCTTCATCTTTTTATTTCTTAATGTTGACCTTCTGTTGATAACTTTTTGACTTCATCTTTTGCTTCTTCATCTCGCCAGTCATATGGCATTTCTCTTTTCATTCTTCCCGCTGTTTTTCTTTTAATCATTTCTCCGTAAGCAAGGCAATAAAGCCACTAACACGCAAGGTGTTGCTTAGTGCTAGAGAACATCAGAAAACTAAAGAGTACAACCAATACTAAAGTGCGAAAACAATAAAAGAACACAAAAGACACAAGATAACGACTGACATTGCATTTAACTTTTTGAAAATCAAAGTTCGCTGGAAAGCAGTGAATTACAAAGCAGATGTAAACGCTATTAAAAATATAATTCTCCGATATATAACAGATATTGCTGCTAGCTAATGTCTTTGCTTAATAAATTATTAAATCGCCTAATTTTATTTTTGAAGTATAATTCTGAAAAATAATGTAGTTTATAAATTCTCTTATCATTTAAAAATCAACAAACAACATTAAATTCTTTCATTGGCCACATATGTACCACACTCTCTCGTAGGTTGACTTGTCATTTGTCAAAATTTAGGGCAATTTGCCCTGTTATTGATCAACATTATCAAATAAGCAAAATAATATTAACGTACGACAAAATTCAAGAGATAACAAGGGAGGAGAGGGATATATGATAATTTTTAATTTCAAATTCACCTCATGCAAGGCATTAAAGCCACTAAGACACAAGAGCTTACTGGATCTGAAAGAATTCGAAAACAGAAACATTATTAAGGAGCGAGAACAATAGAAGAGTAATGAGGAAGATCGTAGATACGAGCAAAAGATCAATAAAGGAAACGGAATTAAGAAGATACAAGATAACGATTGACATTGCATTTTACTTTTTGAAGATGAAAGCTGACTTAGGATTTTAAAAAAAACAGAAGAGAGTTCCTCAAGCGAGACGTGCGGTAGAAGAGACTGCTAGCATAGAACTTACGGTTACATCTTACAAACTCAACTGTAAAATGATGAGATCTCCCTGTCAATTTAGTACTACGCTTAAATTCATGCATTCTAGTTACATCAAATTAAAGTTAATCAGAACAATTACCATACAAATATTTACAGAAAAGACGCAGGAAAGATACAGTATGGCGGTGGGAAACAGTACTGAAGCCGATATGCATGTCAGGAGGAATGAAATTGCAGAATCATCTTTGGATTTTATCAAGAATCTCTAAATAAATAGCAGAAGCAAGGGACCAGATTCGGCAGCAATATTCAGTGTAGGGACAAATGATAGACTGATAAATATGTAGAAAAACTTCCGTTACGAAAAATTATTAAGTAACACATTGGGAACCATATTTCCTAGTAGCGAATCTAGTAATTGCTTCAATATAATCTTTCCACATCATGTCAGCAGAAAACTTTAGACCGAGAATGCGCCCCGAATTACTCTCCGGGAGGTTAGCATCTTCCATACTGATGAAATGTGAAAATAATTATCTCAGTCTATTTCGAGGATGTTAAAATGAACAAACTATTCCTTGCCTCAACTAACAACAGAATGTGGGTCAATTTTTAGATAAACTTCCAATTTGAACTTATCTAGACTTACTATTAAGACAGGAGTAAATGTTTGTGTCATCAGCATATATACCGATAAAGAATGCAATTGATGATAATTACGAAAAAATTAGAACCAAGGATAGCGTCTTGGTGGGGCGCCTTAATTAATACAAAATGATCTAGAAGAGTGGCCATTCAAGACAACTTTCATTTCGCGATTCGATAACAAACACTGAATAAGTTCAAAAATGAGTTGAGAAATACTATATAATTTCAGATTATTTAGAAAATCAATATGCCAAACTCTGTCAAATGCCTTTGAGATATGCAAAGGAATAGCTCGAGCTTCATCATTCTTGTGTAAAGTTTGATAGACACCAAGACCTAGACAAGTGAAGTGAGATGCTTAACTAATACAGACTTGTATCTGTCTATATTTATGAGCAGTGGTAAAAAATGGTTGCTGAAGACATTAGGCTTATAATACCCAGAAATTCTTACCTGGATGTCCTCAAGGACACATGGCACAGTGGATGAAGGCGTTAGTTAGATCCAGTGACAGGACCCAAAGACTGTGAGTCCAATACCCGGTTAAGGCAATGGAGAACTTGGAGAAGGGAATTACAAAGAGGAAACTGATAACTGACATCCATTAAATATGGCACGTGAAACAACAGTCTATCCACAGTGAGCGAAAATAGAACATTCTATCCCAGTGAGCGAAATAAAGGATTCAGTTCGACATTCCAACCACCTGAAGATGGCCGGAGCGTACAACGGCCGAAATGTTGTAATAAATATGGCGATAAAAAGGAGGACAGTAGTCTGAATAATGTAAATAGTAATACAGAGTTGATTAGGGCTCCTAGCATTTTGCCAGAAATATGGAGAATTAGATTTTTTTTTTATTATTTTGCCCGGCCTCGGTTTCATTTACAAGGATTCCGTTTCGCTTTCTAATTTTATTTTCCCGATTTTTCTAGTTATTTATTATTCAACATTATTATTTTTCATTTATTAAACTTTGAAGGTGTTTTTTTTTTCTTTCATGCATAATCGAATAAGTGTGAAAGGAAGCCATAGATAAGACAAAGGAGAAATATAAAATGAGGAAGAAGAAGAAGAAAAAGTAAGGATATTAAAAAAAAAAAAAAGAAAGAGTGAAATATTCGGGAATGAAGATGAAAGAGAGCTACAGAAAAAATTAAGCCCAAAACTGTAAAATGGGGAAAAGGAATAAATAAAAAAAATAATAATATGCAGGAAAAAAAAAGAAAGGAAGAAGGATTTCAGAGCGGAGTTGTAATGAAAAGCAGTGGAAAATTAAATAATTAATTAGATAATTAGAAAGAAAGAAAAATAAAGAATGAGTGAAAACTTAAAAAGCAAAAAGTAAAAAAATAAAATAAGGGAAGAATGAAGGAAAGAAATCGTGAGGAAAAGAAAGAGTAATGAAAAAGTAAGGAAAAGAAAGAATGGGAAAAAATGGAATCTTGAAATTGAAAGAGGAGAAAGAAAGAAAGAAAGAAAGAAAGGAAGAAAGAAAGAAAGAAAGTGACGGACAAAAAACGAAAACCATACAAGACAGAAAGAAAAAAATAATAGAAAGAATTAAAGAAAGAAACGATGAGAGCCAAGCAAACAGAAAGAAAAAAAGAAAGAGACGTGCATAAAAGAAAATCACACAGGCAGTCAGACAAACAGAAAGAAAGAGAGAAAGAAAGAAAGAAAGAAAGAAAGAAAGAAAGAAAGAAAAAAGAAAGAAAGAAAATAATGCAGCAAAGAACGAGTAATGAAAAACAATAAAAACGAAAGAATGAGAATAAAGAAAATAAGGAAAGAGGAGAGAAGAAAAGAATGAGAAAAGAAAGAAAGAAAGAAAGAAAGAAAGAAAAAATGAAGGAATGAACGAGTAATGAATAACAAAAAAAAGAAAAAAAGAACGAGAAGCATGAAAATAAGCAAAGAAGAGAGAGAAAAATGAGGAAAGAATGAGAAAAAAAGAAAATAAACAAAGAGGGGAACAGAAAAGGTAAAAGTTGAGAAAAAAGAAAGAAAGAAAGAGGAGTGAGGTAAAGCAGTATAAATATGGAGAAAAAAAAGGTGAGAAAGAAAGAAATAATGCAGAAAAGAACGAGTAATGAAAAACTATAGAAACGAAAGAGTGAGAAAAACGAAAATAAGGAAAGAGGGGGGACTAAAAAGAAAGAAAGAAAGAAAGAAAGAAAGAAAGAAAGAAAGAAAGAAAGAAAGAAAGTAACCATGGAGGAAATTTGTATTGGATAACTGTAGAAATGAAAGAATTAAAAAGAAAGGAAAATAAAGTATGGAAACTCAAAAAAGATACAGAGAATGAAAGAAAAATTACTCGGAAAAGAAAGAATAATGAAAATAAAAACAAAAGAATGAGAAATAAAGAAGAATATGGAAGTAGGGGAAACTGAAAAACTAAAAGGCGAGAAAGAAAGAAAGAAAGAAAGAAAGAAAGAAAGAAAGAAAGAAAGGATGGAAGGAATCAGGAGGGAAAGTAATAATGGAAAACAGTAGAAATGAAAGAATTCGAAATAAAGAAAAAATAAAGAAATAGTGTAAATCTAAAGAGTTAAAAGTGAATAAAGAAATAAAGACAGAAAGGAGTCACGTGGGAAGGAACGAGAAAGAATGAGAAAAAAGAAAATAACCAAAGAGGGGAACAGAAAAGGTAAAAGGTGAGAAAGAAAGAAAGAATGAAAGAAAGAGGAGTGAGGTAAAGCGGTATAAATATGGAAAAAAAAGGTGAGAAAGAAAGAAAGAATGCAGGAAAGAACGAGTAATGAAAAACTATAGAAACGAAATAGTGAGAAAAACGAAAATAAAGGAAGAGGTGGGGGACTAAAAAGAATGAGAAAGAAAAAAGAAAGAAAGGAAGGAAGGAAGAAAGAAAGAAAGAAAGAAAGAAAGAAAGAAAGAAAGAAAGAAAGAAAGGAAGGAAGGAAGGAAGGAAGGAAGTATGGAAGGAATCAGGAGGGAAAGTAATAATGGAAAACAGTAGAAATGAAAGAATTCGAAATAAAGAAAAAATAAAGAGTGTAAATCTAAAGAGTTAAAGGTGAATAAAGAAATAAAGACAGAAAGGACTCACGTGGGAAGGAACGAGAAAGAATGAGAGAAAAAGAAAATAAACAAAGAGGGGAACAGAAAAGGTAAAAAGTGAGAAAGAAAGAAAGCAAGAAAGAAAGAAAGAGGAGTGAGGTAAAGCAGTATAAATAGGAAAAAGGTAAGAAAGAAAGAAAGCAAGAAAGAAAGAAAGAGGAGTGAGGTAAAGCAGTATAAATAGGAAAAAAGGTGAGATAGGAAAGAGAGCGTGAACTTGTAATGATAGCGAGGCAAAAGCGAACAATGAACGAATGAATAAAAAAAAAAAAAAAACACCCCACAAAATCTCTGACATAAAAAGGCAAATAGAAAGAAAACTATTACAAATAAAAATGTGAGTTGAAGGAAAAATGTTTCATCAGTACAGAAAATGTATAAGGGACAGAGGGGTTTTTACGTGTTAGATTTGCCGACAGGCGAATATCGTCTTAAGTAGCTTATTATCTTGATAGAGGACACTACACAACCCGAATCTCCGATTTTCCGTCAAAATCCATATCTCTTCATTTAAAAGTTTGAGAATTCCCTAAACACCCGGCAATCGATAGCGTATATCTTCCTATCAATTAATAAGGGTGGATTTTCTCCCTATTTCAGTTCGGGTCGCCATGCGACATCAACTTCAGCGAGATATTTTTAACAGCTGCGACATGCAATCTGCAGTATTAGATAGGAATATATCCATGTGAACTATAATGGATTTGGACTTATTGATAATCTCCAAGAACGGTTTAAAGATGCAACGATCAAGCTGTCTTTAACACGTCCCATTAATAAAAGCGACCGGACAGGAGAAAAGAATTCTTCTCCAAAATTCCAGGATATTAAAGTTAATAGATATTCGCTTATATTGTTATTTTTATATTTTGAGTCAATATTGTTAGCAAGGGACCTTCATATGAAATAATGAAAATAAACTTAAAACTTTTCATTTCTGCAACTAAACTAAAACTTCTGTCTATATCTCTGAGATGAGGTTATTATGATTACTTGATTTATTTACATTATTCGAAGCTATTATCCTCATCTTCATTGCCATATTAACAATGTTTCGACCGTTGTACACCTGGTGAATGGAATTTCGAATCAAAACCTTTATTTCGTCTACTAGGTTGGGTTGTTTTAGTTCCATCTGCCATGCCTCTTCCGGATGTATCAGTTATTTTCGTTTATAAAGGATAAAAGCGTTGGTTAAATCCAGTGACTACACCCAAAGAGTCGTGAGTTCAATACCAGGCTACAACAGACGTGAAAAAAAGAAAGAAAAAAAGTGCAGTGTTGAGTTAAAGGGAAATAAGCGAGACACCTGAAAGAGGCATGACATGTGGAACTAGAACAATCTACCCTGCTTGACGCAATAAAGGTTTCCGTTGAAATTCCAATCACCTGAAGAATGCCGGAGCGTAGAACTGAATATGGCAATGAAGATGAGGATAAATATTCGAATAATTTAAACAGTGCAAGTTAGTCAAACATCGTTATTTATTTTGCTGTTTTCACTTTGTCAGACGATTAATCAGCATGTAACCAAAGAGATTCTTCTGCGTTTATGTTCTGGCCTGTTTAGGGGCCAGAAAGAAAGACACGAAAGACGAAGATAGGTTGAAAAAGTATATTGAAGATATATACAAAACAATAGCGTTAGTAATAAGTAGATTAGCACTGCGTCCACTACTCCACTCCACTTCACACACTTCTATCCGACTCTCGCAGTTTGTATTTATGAGAGAAGGAAGAGTTCATTATACTGTAAGAGGGCTTACCACAACAGTTTATTTCATTCAGTGTTCGAGAAGAGGCGAGAGGACAACTCGTGTCCGCTTCACAACGGGTTACAACGTACTGGGTATCCGGAAGTTTCATGGTGAGAAGAACATCATACTACTGGAGCAACATGCCGCCTCAATCAAACTGCTCCGGGTGATTATTTTTCTTTTCTAGAACCTCAGTGGGTTCATCAAGTGAACCGTGACGACAGAGCAGCAGGGAAACACGGGAGAATACGCCCAGGAGTGCATAGAATCGTTGCAGAGACGGATAGGGCAGTGGTTTAGACGCGAAGGTGAAGTTAGAGGCCAAGAGGAACACTTGGAGTTTTTAGTTCATATTTAATATACATTTCTTGTGACTTCAGTCCCATTTGTTTTTCTGATCCACCTCGTATAAGTAAATGAATATCCAAACATATATTATATGCAACATTTATACAAAATTTAAAAATACTATACTCTGATCATTCATTTTATTTTACACTTGTTTACCCAATGTAAAGTTCAAGGCACTCAAAACATAGATTTATCAAACGAGATTTTATGAGGGCTGACTTTATGAGCATATGCCAAAAATACATAGACTGAACCGTCAGTTTTTAATCATATCCTCTTAAAGACTGTTTCACAAGGGCTGCAACTAATGGAATATGCTGGGAATGTGTAATGAGTGAACTCTGGACCTCGTTTCTTTAACCAAGACTTCAATATCTGTATCCAAGAGACATGCAATGATTCGTCTGGGGAAAAGGATTGCATCACCCACAAGACCAACTAAAAATTATAAGCAACTGGAAAGTGAATATATATAAAGTATTACGGGACAAGGTGATGGTGACCTTGCGGTGGTGAGATGTGACGCAAAAATTTTTTGATGTTAAGGATATATTTAAACTTTAGATGGCGCAAGGCCGAAAGTGTGGGGCAAACATGAGGATCGACTCGCCTCAGTAGTAACTGATACCGCTCGACAACCATGTTATTTACATAAGATCATTTTCTAAGCGTACCTTATTATTTGGGATCGAACTCACTACTAATAATTAATTTTTTTCGAGTCAAGTTTGTTAACAAACATTCATGTAAATGCACATAATCATATCTATAACTGTCAAGCATAAAAACACAGAGATATGAAGAGCAGACACTTCATTCATCAAAGGACGAGTCATCTCCCCAAAGGCAAGATGTTATTTCTAATACTCGATAAATCTAAAATTTGCCCTGTCGTACCCAACCACTCTCACGCTAAATACGGCATTTACACGTGAAACAGGATATCTACATTTACAGAAAACTTTTAAATGATTAAGAAGGGCTTGGATTTATCGTATAGATCAATAAATTATCATTTTGAAATTGATATTAGAAAAAAGAGGTAAAAAAAAACAAAAAACAACCAATTTTTGCTAAATCTCGCGATTTTTAAAAGATCAAAGAGTCTGTTTTGTAGAAAGTGAGTGAAGTTGAGATGGCAGATCAGAGTTCGATTGATCGTGAAATTTCAACTTCTGGCACTTTCTCAGCGACGTGACTCAGCTTTCATGGATTAACTGTTCTGATAAGCTTCTTTGGTGATATAAATTGAATCGATTGGCATATCTCATTGTTTTTACCTTTGAACTATAAAACCATTTCAATTTTTTTTTAGATTTTGCCATTTAACCCCTGCTCGTGTGATCATTTTGGCTCTTGAAAGAAAGACATAACTGCATCACCAATTCGCCGTTTTTAATCGATATTAATTAAATAGTTGTAATTAACGAGAACACATATAATGAGGGATTAGAGACTTGAATCTTTCTGCTTAATATTTAGAGTTTATTGTGTGTGTGTGTGTGTGTCTCTCTCTCTCTCCATCATCAACTCTCCCGTCGAATTCGACGTATGAGGTTCAGTTCCCAAAACCGACAGCCCGACACCAGCACATTTTGAATAAAGGTTTCGTGCAGGACCATTCACAATTTCTGAAGGGCCGAATACAGAGACCTGGTGCACTATGTGCCTGAGGTCCCCAAACGACCCTCCGCTGGTTTTGAATTCAGAGTTGTTTTTCTCGTAGACCAGTTGCCATCCAAGGCTATAGAACCCAGTCTGCCCTGCTCTTTTACCCATAGCTGGATGAAGAGGAAGAGGATTCCTACCTTTCCAAAGGGTAATAGCACGTAAGTGAATGTAATGGATTCGACTGGAATTCGAACTCGGCTCTCCGATTCCTCAATCCAAGCCGCTATCCATTACTCCATATATATCTAAAATGAATACAATTATTTGTTAAAATTATTATCCACGAATTAATGATTTAAATTAAAATAATTTTAAAAAAATTATCTTTGGCCGAATGTCTTTAGTGAGGTTTCAACCTGAAATGCCTCGAAGAAAATTTCGTCTTATATCAAAATTCCCATCCACTTGGAAAATAAAGATGAACGCGTAAACAAGATGAGTAAACGAAGTAATATGAATCTGCATTTCTTTTGTTATTTTTTAGACGATTATGGAATAAAGGATATAGACAAGAATTGTCAACGTCTGGGCAGAGATACTTTAAACGGATTAACCATGTAATAAACAAAAAGGAGGTCGTCGCAAGAACTGTTATACGAATGATGGAGAGAAAAGGATAAAGGCAGATCTGAATAATAAATCTTCAATTAAGTCAATACAATTATCTCTCACTAAATCTCGTTTTGGATATATATATATATATATATATATATATATATATATGTGTGTGTGTGATTTCTAAAACGTTTTTTTTAAGATAAAAATTATATAAATTTCCACCGAATCAATTCTGCATAGTCAATGAATACTAAATGTTTCCTTGTTTTACCATTACAATAAAACTATAAAACTGTGATATATATATATATATATATATATATATATAAATTAATTGATTTAAAATATGTTTTTCGCTACACACACACACACACACACATATATATATATATATATATATATATATATATATATATATATATATATATATATATATTCTTTTTAATAAAGAAGCCTTTGACACACACACACACACACATATCTATCTATCTATATATATATATATATATATATATATATATATATATATATATATATAAAAAATTTAATTTAATTTAAATTAAAAATTAAATTAGAAAACAAAACAAACCTTATTATATTATATTTTTTAACAGACAACCTGATTATATTTTTTCCCGGAAAGTGTTTTTTTCCTGGTTCTTCAGATCACATTTCCAAGCATAATAAATGGTTTTAAAATTTACGTCTGTATATATATATATATATATATATATATATATATATATATATAAACAACACACACACATATATATATATATATATATATATATATATATATATATATATTATTCACGTAATAGATATTTTGGAATTACAATAATTTCATATAATAATTCATCGAGTCTAGATCAAGAAACCTCCACAGAATGCAGGAAGCACTCAACCGTCCTTTCCTCCTTCTTGGCAATCATCGTTAGGGGGCATCCACTGCGTGGGAGTGAAACAAATTTAAAAAATATCATTCAGAAGTAAAAAAAAAAAAAATCTTTTAAAATCTGGATCTGTCAAGAACAAATATTTTAAAAACTCTAATTCGCTTTTCAACAACCGTAACTTGAATAAAGCCACATGACATTTCTAAAAACGAAGGAAACGGTTTAACTCCCGCTCTTCAGGCCTCTACAGGATATTTAACTTAGATTAAACTAACATGAAAATGTGTAATGAAGAGGAGAAAAATATGAACACAATGAGCTCGAGACAAATGACAACGATCCCCAACAAACATTCATACTGTTTACACAGGGAAGGTTTACGAGACCCGATATAAAATGCCTCCAGCACCTTGAAATGAAATAACAAGTGCGGCCGGGACAGAACTAAAATTAGCAGCACACCCTCTGTTATTTAAGAGGTGCTCACATATGGCAGAACCATAGATAATTTGAGACATGCCCATTTAAAGATAAGGTGTGATTCCAGATTTTAGTGGGAATATGTTGTTTGATTCTCATATCCTTCTCCGTATGTAGTCAGCACCGGAACTACAGTTATATTTATAAACAATAGAATTAACTTGATGGGGAGGGAGAGCATCCTTGCACACAGAACGAAATATAGGCCGAGTTTAGAAAACTATATGGACCGTAGCCGAGAATATATATATATATATATATATATATATATATATATATATATATATATATATATATATATATATATATATGAGGAATTAGGATCGATTATCTATCTTAAAGAAAAATGTTATAATCATGAAGCCTTAAAGTTCACTGTTTCTTAATAATAATTAATATTTGCTCTGTTTTTACATTGAGCTAACTGGATTATATCCTCCTTAGAATTATCCATAAGGATTACCAAATACTTCATTAATTAAATATTGGCTCTTTATACTAATAAGTTGAGCTCTCACTGGATTACTTCCGGCTGGATTACTTTAACAGATCATATTTTCATCAAATAATTGACAAATTTGTCACCCATTTATCTGTATAATAATTCATATATATATAGAGAGAGAGGGGGAAGAGGTATGGGTTTGTAAACCTTGACTATTATAGCTAATATAGCGAGACTCTTCGCAAAAAGCGAATTGAGTCACTGTCGGTCACTGGGCGTGTTTCTGAAAATAAATACGCTAAAATTCACCTACATCCCTGCCGACGGCTTAGTGGTAGAATCTCCGACTGACACCAATTCAGTCGGGTTTCGATCCTAGCTAGAGGCAACCAGATGTCTAGCCACACTGATGAGCTGTGAAACAGCGAAACAGTCTGTCTGTGAATGACGTTATACACACACACACACACATATATATATATATATATATATATATATACGCACACACGGGTTGTAACAGCGAAATTGTCCAAATCTGGTAACAGCAAAATTGTTAAATTGTTAGATTAAAAATTCAAACTTTGTTCCTTAGAAATATTTAAAGATAGCATACTGAATTCTCTAAAGTCTTATAACTCTAGTGAACTCTACTTTGAGCAATAAAATCTATAATTACTTTCCAAACTTAACAGACGAATCCTGATGAAATCGATCATGAACGAAAATGACATGTTCATCATTAATTAATCATAGATTATGAAAGGAAGCTTGTGAAGTATTGAAATAACGTTCATATATATATATATATATATATATATATTCTAGGATCATTTTCCAACTTCGCCCTCTCTATCTTTCTAACTTCCTGTCCTGGAGTAGTAAGGTGCCTCACAGATTTCACGTACGTTCTTTTTTAACTGCTCTTTCGACTGTCATAGACGAAACTTCAATCTCACGTGCCAAACGTCTTAAGGATTGAGTTGTATATTACTAATTGACACCTTCATCTCTTAGTTGAACTGATAATCCTTTTCCTGTTATGACCTCTTGATCTGTTTTTCTCTCTACTTTTATCTCTTTTATAAAATTATTCACCGTTCTGTTGATAGTTCTTGAATGGACTTTGAAGATACAAGCCAGAATGCGAATCTTGGTACAAGTACTGAACACGTGAATGATCATTTTGCTCTCACCAATGCACAAATAGGAAAATATAGCGGGGTTGACACAAAACAATTTTAAAGTTTTCTCTTTCTAGCTGAATAACTCAAAGAGGTTTCAGTGGTTCTTACGACAGTGCCAAGATAGCTAAACCACATATGTGAAAACCTGTAAAAAAATAATTCAATTACTTTAGTGTTCTTTTAGTTATT